GCAATGTCAACTTAGTTCCATTTCCTTTTGAGTGAATTAATAGGTGGTCGTTTAATATGTGTGTGCTAAATAACCTGATAACTGTACCTGCATGGGACTTTCTGCTTCATCTTGCAAATATAAGAGATGTTGTAATGTCCTCCTTCCAGCTCTTCAGTTTCAATCTTTTGGAACAAAAAGAAGAAGAAAATCAATACGACAATCAAGGCATCCCTTTCTCCTTAACAAAATAAAATAGATCTAGCATAATTCAAATTAATAGATATTTTTATGTCATGGTTGGCCTTAATTTTAATATGGTGTGGAAATCAACATTCCTATTTAATGAACCACAGTACAAAGTAAAACTAAATGGAAGATTTAACTTGTGCATCAAACAGTGGTTTCTATGGCCTATGAACACGAAGCAGTACTAAGTAGAATTAGTTTATTATAACAAGAAGAGGTGGACTACATACCATATAAGCAGAGGCGGCGCTCCGAGAGGGGGGGGGGGGGCAGAGTGCCCTCCCATTTGGTCAAGTACCCTAAAAGTGCCCCTTTTTGCATAGGAAAAGTGCCCTTTTTACATAGGAAAGTGCCCCTTTTACTCTGACAAGTGCCCCTATTAAGTTTTTAAAGTGCCCCTTCCCCTTTTAATAACTACCCCTTTTAACTTGGATAAGCGCACCTTATATCTTCACATGTGCTCCCTTTCATTTTTAATAAGTGCCCCTTTTTCTTATAAGTGCCCCCATTTTTACCTCTGATAATTAGCCTTTGTACTTTGACACATGCTTCTTTTCTTTTCTGATAAGTGTCTTAACCCTTTCGATAAGTGTCCCCTTTTCCTCTCATCATTAAACGTGTCCCTAATTTCAAGCGACTAAAAGCAATTTCCCACAAAGCTCGCTCGCTACGCTTGCCCATAGTTATAGATGTTATAATTATGTAACTTATCACAGATCTATTCAGTCTTCCGTTATGAGATTGTGCTTATATAACCCCTTTCAGGATTGGGTTTTCCTCTTTATAAGATGTAATTTTTCGCACTGCAAGCCAAAAACTGCAAAGTATGATACTTAAGCAATATCTTAAATGCTGTATTAAGAGAAACAAATATTGAAATCATCCCTGATAATGTAATCACAAAATAGGGGTATATACCAATGTCAAAAAAATGGTATATTTTCCCTCTGAAGGTGCCCTTTTTTCAAGAAAGTTTTTTTGTTGGTGCCCCCCCCCCCCCCCCCACTTTGGAAGTTGCTCCGCCGCCTCTGCGTATAAGTAAACATAATTGTCGACTACCCTAGGGGTCTTCTCTTATACAACGTCCAACAAAAAATAGATTTATCAAATGAACTGCATACTTTGGAGAAGAAAAAATCTTTAATATAGGCCCTAGGTCTAGATCTAGAAAAGTTATGACAACTTGACAAGCACACTGGACACACACAACATCTGAACATTAAATAAATGAATCCTAGGTCTAGTTTGTTTGTTTTTGAATATTTTTATTAATAAGTTCCAGGTTTACGTCTAAATGAAATGTGGTTTGAAGCCGTTTGATTATCCATGGTCACAAACAATTTTGGTCTAAAAGTTGACACGCACCAATGATGCAACTGAGCGAACGGATAGCACTTAGTCTTAGTAATACTAGTATAGCCAACAGAGTCGACATCTACTAAAGATATAAACAAGAATTAACCCTCTTGGATTATTAAAGAAATCATACTTCATAGATTATTTTAAGGTGTAACGTTAAATCTAGATTTAAATTCAATGGATGATTGGTGAATTAGATTCACGATGACGATCAAATTTGGAATAAAACCTGATCAGAAAGTTTTATCTTGATGCAGATGAGCACCGAAATTCCCCAACGTGGGCCTGCCGGAACCCCGGGGCTCTAAAGGGTGACATGAAGGCAAACCGCAGTCAAACTACTTCACGACGATGAAAATCAAAGTGCAATTTCAAGAGAAATATTTTCCTAGCCTTTTCCCCACAAATCTGTTGAGAACAGTCTCAAAATGTAAAGAAATTACAGTAGATCACGAATTACAGCTTTTTCAAATTAATGACTAAATTCTCTTAATCTACTGATATTTCAATCAATTACTCACTCATATGCATTCTCCGTGAACTAAATCTTCTCACTTTGTGCGAGTATAGCGCGCGTCGTGCATTCCCACCTCGATATGAATATTTAAGAGAATCGAGACTTTCCCCGACCCTGCCTAATGAATATTCATGATAAAACAGGAATCCGGCCTCGCCGTGGTACGAAAAAATAAGACGCGACCCGGCGACCGGTACGTGGGCACATAAGAATAGGCCGCTCAAGCTAGGAACCGAAGACCGAAATCCGTCCCCTGCGCGCCCTATTTATGTTGCCATTTATTTCTTCATACCTCTACCGTTAACCCAGACAATGGCAGTTCAACTTTTGTCGGGTTGCTTTTATACATTCCAGCTCTACACGAATAAAATTCAGGTGATCGGTACACTTTAACCAAACATGCACTCATCTACAAATGGATGCAATAAACATCTTCTTTGCATTTCTCTTTGTGTACGCAATTTAAACTTCATTTATTATGTTGCAGCTTTCTCGGCTGTGGTACAAACGCACACGGTATACTAAGAAGCCGCATCACTGGTCTAAACAAGTCAGAGAAGTCACTCAGGGTGATTGCCTTGCATGTAAGTTACCTTCTAAGTATATCGATTGCTACATGAATGCAAGGTTTTCTAGGACAATATTGTTCCCCCCCCCCATGACAAATATCCCCCCAACAAAAAACAAAAAATTATCAGGGTGAACTTCCCCTTTAATGAAAAGGGGGTAATTTTCCCGGGAAGAGGGGGGGGGGGGGGAAATTGTCCTCCGGGGTGATTGTCTTTGTTGTTAATGGAGGGGGGGGGAGCAATTATCCTAGCGGCATATTTTTAGAAAAACGGGGTAATTGTCCCAGAGGGTAATTTGTCTGGTGGTAATTCTGCTCGGGGGATGTTATCCTTGGGGGTATTTTTCCGGGGATGATTGTCCAGGGGGCAATTATGCTGATACTATAAAAACAATTATATCATTAAACAGTGTAACATAAATTCATTTAAATATATATTATGTGTATAGCTATTTGTAGAAATATAGTGGCATCCTTTTTATTGTTATATTATATTGGGTGAAGGTGCTACATGTACATGTAAACTACAATATTATAAAATAATGATTCCGATGAACCTACATTCACAAAATATTTGAAATGAATTGAGATTAACATTAAAAGAAACCGTGAATGACCGGTATGTTTGGAGTCATCCACCAACCCACCGCTGCGGCATATCATGAAATAGAGAGACAGGTTGCCTGTGTAAATGAGAAATCAGCCATTCGCAGATCAGAGTCAAATGTATGTAAAACAAAGTTATTGATTTTGTTTATCGGCCATATTTATTTATATTATCTGTACTGTTTTTGTAAAGTAGGCTTACCTCATCAGTTAACAATCTGTTGTTCATGAGCGCTCTGTACAATAAAACAGCGGTTAAGAATAACCTACACAAGGTACCTTTGGAATAGTCTGACACGCCCGAGGCCGTAGCAGAGGGTTCTTTGACTGTTTGCAGGTACCGAGTGTGGGTAATTTTACTAATGCCCGACCAAAATGATGTGTATTATTTGTTTTATAAGATTATGTTTTATTTGTTATATACAAAAATTGATGTTTAATAACATGATTTTACTAATGAGCGGTCATTAGAATTGGATAATGACCGGTCATTATCCAAATTACGCGTTAGGCAAAATAAATGCCTGGTCACGTGTACGCTTTAAACCAATCATTTGATTATGATCTACGTCATAGGCACCGGAAGTGGGGGGGGGGGGGGACAGGGGGGCAAAACGCATTTTTGCCCCCACCCCTCCCCCCCCCCCCCCCCCCCAAAAAAAAAAAAAAAAAAAAACAGTAAAGGAGTAAAGATGGTTTGTATTTTTAACCCAAAAGACGTCATCATCTTATAAACAATATTTGTGGACCTGATAAGTACATATTGAACTCATAAATAGCATAATAAACAAATATAATGTGGTTTCGTGAAGTGGAGAGAAAGCGTTTGTAAAAGGTCTTCACATAATATTGTGCGCCCTTTTCGGCGCGTTTAAGAAAGCTCGAATGGTATGATCGATGTCACTTCACTTATGTGATAACAAAGATTGTGTATTCATGGATGTGTTTGGAATTTGAATTTTACAATCGAATAAACGGACGGCTCCTAGTTGTCGGGCAAGCAATAACTAATGATATTTTACAATGTAGAAGTGTGTTTAATGTGTTTAGTATGTACGTACATTTCTAGCTCTTGCATAGGGATTGAAAGGGGTAAATTGATTAGGAAATGTTGAAGAAGTTGTACAAAAGACCACCTGTTTCTTGAGGGGGAGGGGGCGGGATTCCCTAAAGGACAGGTATAACCCTAATGTAATATAATAGTGTTCCTTTTTTTTTGCTTGTGAATTCTAACTAAATACGTAATATAACTTAATATACCAAGGTTCCTTCCTTTAAATTGTACCTATTTCAAATATTTATTGTTTATCATATGGCTAACATTAAATCACTTTATAATTCCAGGATAATGGTCAACTCTTCGTTGAAAAATGCCAGCTATCTACCGAGATGACCGAGAAGTTGTGGTCCTGTCTTAGATCCTTCACCTCACTGAACCATCTCACCATCTCAGACTCCTCTCTCAGTTTCCCTCCATCTCCTCCTGAGCTTCCATCCGTCACAAAGCTATTAGCTGAGAGTATGAATTCACAAAGCTATGGAGGTCTGCTCTCATCGCTTCCTGGCTTGAGAGATATCGATATCACTATCGATGATGCAGAGAGAGACATACCTCAGATCACGGCTGGTCTTCGTCGGACCGGAGGACAGCAGCTCACACACATCGAGCTTACAGCACCGGACTCACTCCCATCAGAGAAGACGAGTGTATCTACTGAAACGATGAGAGGACTGGGTCTACTGATCGGAGAAGAAACCAAGAACCTGTATTGGCTCATTCTGACCAGGGTGAAGTGCACAGACGAGGAAGACTTGGTTGAACTTGTCGAGTGTTGCAGAAATGTGAAGACGATGAATCATCTAATGTGAGTTTATGGTACAAATGTTTAGTCAGTCAATAACACAAATAATACTCATAGTGTTGGTAGCCCCAGTAATAATAATAATTGATAACAATAATAATACAATTAACAATACTAGTTATAATACTGGTAATAACCATTAATGATAACCTGATTTTAATGCTAAGGGTATCAAACATTTTGAAATTCAAATGGTGTTTTCGCTCTAGTTTACAATGGGCAATTGACACCTAGCCTACAATTAAAGGCGCTTACTTATGTTTGGTGAATTCATTTTAAATATACATGTACCTGTCTTATTGGATGTTTACTATTGATTTGATAACTTTGTTCATGGTTTAAAGAGAAGATTAAGATTCTGTCAGCTGGAAAGTAGCAAATTTGCCAACCTCTTCTTCATGACATCGTATATAGATGATGTAAATTTCTCAAAGCTAGCAAGCGGTCTGAATGCCGTTATGTTTAGTATAATTATATATCATTTTCACGAAGAAAATGAGCCGGAAATATAACAAAACTAATTATTAACGATCATCGTGTTTTCTTGCATGTGTTCAGCTGGTTTATTTTGTTTCTGTTTATCACATAAGGCCCTACTCTTTTTTCTGATCTATTTAAATGACCTCCTTAATTCCTCAATAATTGATTGTTTGCAGCTGAATTGACCACTATTTTCCGCGGAGAAAACCTTGTTTTGATTTAGTAGTAATAACTGAGAATATCACATTTATCACAGTGGTGTGATGATCTTAAGACAATAATACAATTGTTAATATTATGACAAAATTACTTTATTAGTATGAAGCCGAAACGCATGTCTTTTCATGTAGAAGGGTCAGCCTATATGAACGAACATATTATTGTTGAAAGAAGTGCATGTAGCTTCGTTCGTTGGGGTTCGTACTCATAATGTATTTCACTTTGGTAGTTCATATTCACTCTGCGTGTATTGTACTCCGCATAGCAGTAGAAAATCTGTACGGAGGGCTACATTTTGTTCTGATCAGGCTTTTTCTGTTACTACCAGTGGCGTACGAAGGATTTTTTTCAAGGGGGGGGGGGGGGGGGGTTAAAATGAGGTCAAAAATTTCGCAACGACTCAGCCAGCCGCTGAATAAGGGGGGGGGGGGGAGAGGACACTTTCTTTTTTGGTCCCGAAATTTTGTTCCGTTTTGAGAGGGGGTGGGGTAACGTCACCTGTTTTAGGTCATCCATTGGCATTTTAATTTTTTTTTTATCACATGTTCTTTGAGTCCATTTGTTGCAAGCATAAATCATGTGTTATGCAAAGACATCACGTGTGGACTTATTATAAACGGAAATGGGCATCTTTCAAAGTTGAAGGGTCACTTATCAAATCTCAGCAGGGGCATTTCTCATACCTAGAAAGCAGCACTCATCAGGGATGATAAGGGGCACTTCTTAGAACGAAAATAGCACTTATTAGACTGGCCATAGTCACTGGGGAAATTATTTATTATGTAAAATAATGAAAGGAGAGAATGTGGATATAACTGTAAAACAGTTCGAAAATCAGGCAGATAATTCCTTGCATTTAGATTTTGTCTGTCTAAGATATTTAGAGTGTAATGAACATAAACATTCTTTTGATTTGAACTTAAATTTCCTTATATCCATAGAAAATGTCATTTTCAGAGGATGCTCTGATTTTGATACGTTTTCATTTTTTCACTTATTGTAGTACTCCTAAAAGAAGGAAGGTAGAGAAAATTTGATGTTTAGAGGATGCTCAGATTTTGGTACGTTTTCATTTTGTAACTTATTGTAGTACTCCTATTAAGAAGGAAGGTAGAGACAATTTTATGTTCAGAGGATGCTCTGATTTTGATACGTTTTCATTTTTTTTCACTTATTGTAGTACTCCTAAAAGAAAGAAGGTAGAGAAAATTTTATGTACAGAGGATGTTCTGATTTTGATACGTTTTCATTTTGTAACTTATTGTAGTACTCCTAAAAGAAGGAAGGTAGAGCAAATGTTATGTTCAGAGGATGTTCTGATTTTGATACTTTTTCATTTTGTAACTTATTGTAGTACTCCATAAAAGAAGGAAGGTAGAGCAAATTTTATGTTCAGAGGATGTTCTGATTTTGATGCGTTTTCATTTTTTGCACTTATTGTAGTACCCCTAAAAAGGGAAAGATTATGAATCAAAGTTGTCAGAAGTAAATTTTCATAATACTTCCAGTCTCTGAATTGTTGTTTATCTTTTAATTTTCTTATGTTTAAAAAAAAAAAGACTGAGGTATTCGTTTTTGTGAAGGATTCTAAGGATCTGAGGATTCTAAAAGTCATATTTTTGACTTGCAAGACAGCAACATTACACTCATTCAGTTCATTGTCAGTGGAGAATAGTACTTTTGGTTTAGTTCTGGATGCAGGATTTGGTAACGCTAAAGAATGTATTCAGATGTACACTGTAGATCTCATAAGAAACCATGCGCATACCTTCAACAGGTGTCTTCCTTTGTAAATTTCAAAGCCTTTATAGAAATGTACTTGCTTGAACTCTTGAACTTAAGATGTTGCACCATCTATCTCTATCTCTCTTTCTGTTACACTCCCTGCTATATAGATTAATGTAAATCGTTGCTCTCGTATTTTAAAGGGTCTTGAGAGGATTTATTTTGGCCACAATGCTGTTGCCCGTGGCTTGTCGGTCGTGTCGTTACTCGACCTTTGTGTTTGATGTTTGTGTTTTTGTATGTGTGTTAGTTGTATTTATATTGAAAAAATCTTCCACAGGTAGTTCGTCGTCTTTTTTCGCCTCGGTACTCTCGTCTGATGCAGGGTGACATTACTTTTATTTCAATGAATTGTCACGGCCTAGCAAATGATAAGAAAAGAGAAGATGTTTTGTTATATTTGAAATATAAACAATATGATGTATGTTGTATTCAAGACACTCATTTCACTCCTGACATAGAAACAGAAATATGTCGCAAATGGGGAGGCAAGTGTTTTTTCTCTTATCATACATCCAGCTCTAGAGGAGTAGCAATTTTGTTTAAGGATGCTATTCCGGTCAAAGTTAATCAAAGTAGAATAGACAATGGTGGAAACTTAGTAGTTTTAGATTTGACATTATATGAGTACGACATTACACTGGCGTCTTTATATGGCCCGAACACTGATAATCCAACTTTTTATACTGATTTACAACGTATCAAAAATCCACATGTTGTTATTTGCGGAGACTGGAATTTAGTGCAGGACCAGACCCTTGATACTCATAATTATGTTCATGTAAATAATCCTAGGGCGAGACAGCGGGTTAAAAATATGAAGGACGAATTAGATCTATGTGACCCATGGAGAATTAGATATCCTGTGAAAAAATATTACACGTCAGCCGAACCCTTTTAAACAAAGTAGATAAGACTTTTTTTAATTTTTTTTTATATATATTCAGAATTACTATCATTAGTTCATAAATCTGATATTTTATCTGGTTATCGAACAGATCACTCATTAGTTCGTCTTAGCTTGTCTTTAAATAAAATTAAACGGGGTCCAGGAATTTGGAAATTTAATAATTCTCTATTAAAAGATGAAAATTTTGTGTCAAAAATTATAAAAACTATAAAAGAGACAATTACATTTTATGCAAAAGATGAGGTAGAGTTTGATGAAAACGATAACATAGTTGGAAATTGTGAATTGTCTATCAATGACCAATTATTTTTTGAAACTTTGATAATGCTATTGCGGGGTGAATCTATATCCTATGGCTCGTTCATTAAGAAACAAAACATCAGTCGGGAAAAGGAACTGGAAAGAAATATCGAAGTACTGGAACATAGACTAGTGACATCGAATGATAAGACCGCATTACTAAAAGAATTAAGTGACAAAAAGTCACAACTTGAAACCTATCGCTTAAAAGTAAATGATGGAATTATCATGAGATCTAGAATCAAATGGATGGAGCTGGGAGAAAGGTCATCAAAATATTTTTTAAACTTGGAAAAACAGAATAAAGTAAATAAAGAAATACGGCAATTGTCAACAGAAAATGGAGAAGTTATTAGTGGACAAGATGGTATATCTAACGAAATCTTTAAATTTTATTCAAACCTATATAAGGCGAAAGACACTGAAGAGGTAGACATAGACACCTTATTAAACTATCCAGATATTCCTAAGTTAACTCCAGAATTGTCCACATTATTAGAAGGTCCTTTGAGTGAAAGTGAGGTTTGTTTATTGCTAAAAAGTATGAAAAATAATAAATCCCCTGGACAAGATGGCTTCACCGTTGAATTTTTTCGTTTCTTTTGGCAATATCTTAAAACGTTCATTATCAGATCTTTGAACATTTGCTTATTTTACAGGAGAATTGTCGCAGTCACAAAAATTAGGAATTATCACTTTAATTCCTAAAGGAAACAAGCCTCGACATTTATTAAAGAATTGGCGTCCTATTTCACTTTTAAATGTTATATACAAAATAGCATCTGGGTGCATAGCTAATCGATTAAAGCAAGTATTGCCCCGCTTGATACATGAAAATCAAAAAGGATTTTTGAAAGGCCGTTTTATCGGAGAAAATATTCGTTTACTTCATGATATATTATTATATACCGAACTTAATGATATTCCAGGCATGTTGTTGATGATTGATTTTGAAAAGGCCTTCGATTGTATATCTCACAAGTTTCTAATCAATGTCCTTGACTTTTTTCATTTTCATATTTCGTAATACGGGGGAAAGGATCAAATTTACAAATCAAAATAAATTGTTTGGATTTTGCGGTAGCAATAATAATGCACTCAACTGTGTTTTGATGGTTGTAAGACAAGAAATATTTTCAGCTAAATTACGAAATCAACTACCATCATTTGATATAATTTTATCAGCTGTAAAACGTTATTATGAAATGGAAAAATATATATATCAAACAAATCTCAGAGAGAATAAACTAAAAAAGAAATGGTTTCACTTTAGAAAATATTTTGAGAGTGTTGGAAATGTGCTAACATAAACATGATCATGTATTTTATGTTTGGTATTTTTTTTAAATTATATATTCAAAGTACTAATTTTGTCATAAATGTTTGTTTTTATCTGCCACAAAAGTTTGTGGCCGTGATGATTATTATCTGTGTCAAGCCATTATGTATGGAAATTATTTCTTTAATTATTTGTATATGATATATGGATGTTCTGTATATGATGAAATTTGTTTTGAAAATAAAGAACCCTGTGGAAGGGGGGAAAAAAAATTATTTATTATTTTTTTATTCAAGTTTTATTTAAAATAGAGGGTAGGTACATTCATAACAAAACACATAAATAATATTCAGGTGATCGGTACACTTTAACCGTTCATGTAATCATCTACAAATGGATGTAATTAACATCTTCTTTCCATTTCTCTCTTTTTAACCCAATTTACACATTATTTTTATGTTGCAGGCTTCTTGGCTGTGGTACAAACGCAGACGGTAGACTAAGCCGTCACATCACTGGTCTTCACAATCCAAAGAAGTCACTCGGGGTGATTGCCTTGCATGTAAGTTACTTACTAAGTATATCGATTGCTACATGAATACAAGGGTTCTGGGACAATTAACTATTGGACAATCATCCCCCGGCCAATTACAAACGGGACAATTAATCCTTAACCCTAATAAGGGCGGGGGGGGGCATTATGCCCCCCCCCCCTCCACGATTTTCCCGATTGCTCGGGAACGCATATGGATGGCGCCCCGCCGCTAGCTGACTTTTTTCTTTCGAGTCTTGCGCAACTGTTGAAATAATTTTTTTGGAAATCGAACCTACGGTTACAAGGTCACGTGACCTTTTGTCTTTGCATGTCAGCCTGAAAATTGCTCATTTTCGTGATTTGTGTACAAAACATATGGAAAAGTCATTTTTCCTAAAAACAGATCAAACATGGGTTATTGGGTCTTGTTTAAAGTTTAGGTGGTTGTTTTTTAAGTCAAAATAGTTGAATTATAGTAAGAAATGAAATAAAACAACAAAAACAATGAAATACATAAGTTAAAAAAACAATGAAATACATATTTAAAAAAAACAATGAAATACATAAGAAATTATCAAAACAAGGGATGACATAAGGAATAAGCTGGCTCTTCCAAATTTTTTGTCGTATTGTTATTGAGAATGGTCTAATGAATATATGTAGTGAAAAAGAATGCTTAAATATGAATAATATATGATTTATGGGTAAAAATGTGATTTTTATGACTTTATTTGCATAAATTACCATAAATATGCAAATGAGTGAATTTTTCAAAAAATTGAAATTATCATATTATTCTATACACTTCACTTGACATGCGTGCAAATTTTGGCGGCAATCGGCCGCTTTGCGGCCGAGATCTTAAGGGGGGCCATAATGGCCCCCCCCCCCCCGGCCCTACTAAGACCTCAAATAGCCCGGCCTTTTTAGGGTTAAGGACAATTACCCCCCCCCCCCCCCCCGAAAATTACACTCTCGGACAATCATCCCCTCCCCAGGACAATTAACCCCCGAAACAATTTAAACCGAAGTATTATCACGGGTGAACTTTAAAGGTGGTAATTTCCCAGGGGGGAGGGGGGGGGGGGGGGTAATTATCATAGGGGCTGATTTTCAGAGGTAGGGGGTAAATGTCCTCGAGGGTAATTTTCGGATGGTAATTGTCCTTAGGGGAATGTTGTCCTTGAGGGTAGTTTTCCGGGCGTGATTGATTAGGGGGTAAATGTCCTGATACGGAATGCAAGTACATCTTTAAACAAACATAAATTTATTTAAATGTATATCATGTGTATATCGTGCTTGAAAAATATAGTGGCATCCTTTTTATTGTTATAGTATATTGGATGTAGGTGCTGCATGTACATGTAAACTACAATATTATAAGATTATGCTTTCGATGACCCTACATTAATAAAAGATTGACAATAAAATTGAAAACATAAAAACAAACCGTGAATTGCCGGTATGTTCAGGGCCATCCACCAACCCACCGCTCCGTCATATCATGCAATAAAGAGACAGGTTGCCTGTGTACATGAAAAAATAAGCCATTCGCAGATCAAAATTTAATGTATGTAATACAAAGAGATTGATCTATTGGCCATATTTATTTATATCATCTTTACCGTTTTATTTAAAGCAGGCTTTCCTCTTTAGTTTAAAAAACTGCTATCCCTGAGCGCTCTCCACAATAAAACAACGCATATAATTTATGTGTCGACCTGGTTAACTCATAAATAGAACACTAAACAAAGATAAGGAAAACAAAGATTAATAACATAACAAAGATATAATATTATGAATTCAAGATATTGTAAACAGTCACTTATTTTGAGCATATAGTATGATCAAAACATTCAGTCGGTAAATTATTTAATTGTCCAATAACTGATTACAGCCGTTGAAAACAAAATGAGGTAATAGACAGGAGAATAATAGATGGGGATAGATTGAGGAAAAGCAAAGAAAGCTGGTAAAGATAGAGCGAAAGAGGAGAAGAGAGAAAGAGAGGAAGAGGGAGGGGGAGGGAGAACAATGTACGTGGGTATTACATGAAACATGAGTCAGCTAAAACGGATGCCTCTAGAAAAGTGTTCATGTACTTAACAGAATACACGGGGGGGGGGGGATGAAAGAGATCAGAGAAGGAGCTAGAAAGAAAGGAACAAACAGAGAAAGGCAGCTAGACATTTGAGTGATGGGACTTATATCTGCTCGGCATTTAAGTAATTCCATTGTTTCGTACGGAAATCCATTACTATATTTTGCCTGAGTTACACAGGCGAATGTTGTGACTTGTTAATTTTGCATATAATTTTCAAACGGGAATAGGTTATCAGTCGATTTTAATCAAGAAACATTGTTTTACAGCTTAATTAATATCTTGACATTGTGAGGGAGTTATACTACATAAAAATGTTTGTGGAGTCATTGTACGTTGGGACTTCATCGCAGCAAAGTTCAAATATTTTGTGTAAAGTTTGCGTAATGTTTATTCTGGCTACGTGGATCTGAAGTTGTTGTTGTTTGTTTTCTTCTTTTTATTACAACCCGTAACCTTCTTGTTGTAGAATAGCTGTCATAGGGTACTCAATTAGAACAGATATTTTGTTACAGAAAGATACATTTAGGGAGATAATGGTTTCGTGAAGTGGAGAGTACGTGTATGTAAAAAGTCTACACACTTTAATATTGTGCGCCCTTTTCGGCGCGTATGAGAAAGCTCGGTTTGTATGATGGATGTCACTAAAGATTCTACAATCGCATCGAACAAACGGGCGGCTCCTAGTCGTCTGGCGAGCAATAACTAAAGATATTTTACAGTGTAGAGTATACCGGTGTGTTTAGTATGTAAGTAAGGTTCTAGCTCTTGGATAAAGTTTTAAAGGGATGAATGGATTAGGAAAGAGTTAAAGAAGTTATACAAAAGAACGCTCGTTTCCTGAGGGGGAGAGGGCAGTAATTTATTTAAAGGACAGGTATAGTATTTAATATAATTTTTATTTATTTTTATGGCTTCTGAATTCTAATGTCAACTTAATATACCAAGGTGCCTTTCTTTAAATTCTAACCATTTCCAATATGTGTTGTTTATTATGCGGCTGACATATTAAACTACTTTCTAATTCCAGGATGATGGTCAACTCCGTGTAGAGAAATACCAGCTATCTACCGAGATGACCAAAAAGTTGTGGTCCTGTCTTAGATCATTCACTTCACTGAACCGTCTCACCATCTCAGACTCCTCTCTCAGTTTCCCTCCATCTCCTCCTGAGCTTCTGCTCTCATCGCTTCCTGGCTTGAGAGATATCGATATCACTATCGATGATGCAGAGAGAGACATACCTCAGATCACGGCTTGTCTTCGTCGGACCAGAGGACAGCAGCTCACACACATCGACCTTACAGCACCGGACTCACTCCCATCAGAGAAGCAGAGTGTATCGAGAGAGACGATGAGAGGACTGGGTCTTCTGATCAGAGAACAAACCAAGAACCTACAATGGCTCTGTCTGTCTAGAGTGAAGGGAACAAACGAAGAAGACTTGGTTGAACTCGTCGAATGTTGCAAACATGTGAAGACGATAAATCATCTAATGTGAGTTTATTGTACAAACCTTTAGAAGGTGAATAATATTAATAATCATAATGTTGGTAGCCCCAGTAATAATGATAATAATAACAATAATAATAAAATTAACAATACAAGTTATAATACTGGTAATAGCCATTAATAATAACCTGATTTTAATGCTAAGGGTATCAAACAACTTGCACTTCAGATGGTCTTTTTGCTCTAGTTTACAATGGGCAATTGACACCTAGCCTTTAACTAAAGGCGCTTAATTATGTTTGGTGAATTCATTTTAAATATACATGTACCTGTATTATTTGATGTTTACTATTGATTTGATAACTTTGTTCATGGTTTAAAGAGAAGATTGAGACTCTGTCAGCTGGAAAGTAGCAAATTCGCCAACCTCTTCTTCATGACATCGTATATAGATGATGTAAATTTCTCAAAGCTAGCAAGCGGTCTGAATGCCGTTATGTTTAGTATATGTATCATTTTCACGAAGAAAATGAGCCGTAAATATAACAAAACTAATTATTAACGATCATCATGTTTTCTTGCATGTGTTCTGCTGGTTTATTTTGTTTCTGTTTATCACGTAAGGCCCTACTCTTTTTTCTGATCTATTTAAATGACCTCCTTAATTCCTCAATAATTGATTGTTTGCAGCTGAATTGACCACTATTTTCCACGGAGAAAATCTTGTTTTGATTTAGTAGTAATAACTGAGAATATCACATTTAATCAGTGGTGTGATGACAATAATACAATTGTTAATATTATGACAAAATTACTTTATTAGTATGAAGCCGAAACGCATGTCTTTTCATGTAGAAGGGTCAGCCTATATGAACGAACATATTATTGTTGAAAGAAGTGCATGTAGCTTCGTTCGTTGGGGTTCGTATTCATATGTATTTCACTTTGGTAGTTCATATCCACTCTGCGTGTATTGTACTCCGCATAGCAGTAGAAAATCTGTACGGAGGGCTACATTTTGTTCTGATCAGGCTTTTTCTGTTACTACCAGTGGCGTACGAATGATTTTTTTCAAGGGGGGGGGGTTAAAATGAGGTCAAAATTTTCGCAACGACCCAGCCAGCCGCTGAATAAGGGGGGGGGGGTGGGTGGGGGGGGGGGAAGAGGACACTTTCTTTTTTGGTCCCGAAATTTTGTTCCTTTTTGAGAGGAAGTGGGGTAACGTCACCTGTTTAGGTCATCCATTGGCATTTTTTATTTTTTTTATCACATGTTCTTTGAGTCCATTTGTTGCAAGCATAAATCATGTGTTGTGCAAAGACATCACGTGTGGACTTATTATAAACGGAAATGGGCATCTTTCAAAGTTGAAGGGTCACTTATCAAATCTCAGCAGGGGCATTTCTCATACCTAGAAAGCAGCACTCATCAGGGATGATAAGGGGTACTTCTTAGAACGAAAATATCACTTATTAGACTGGCCATAGTCACTGGGGCAATTATTTATTTATTTATTATTTATTTAATCAAGTTTTATTTAAAATAGAGGGTAGGTACATTCATAACAAAACACATAAATAATATTCAGGTGATCGGTACACTTTAACCGTTCATGTAATCATCTACAAATGGATGTAATTAACATCTTCTTTCCATTTCTCTCTTTTTAACGCAATTTACACATTATTGTTATGTTGCAGGCTTCTTGGCTGTGGTACAAACGCAGACGGTAGACTAAGCCGTCACATCACTGGTCTTCACAATCCAAAGAAGTCACTCGGGGTGATTGCCTTGCATGTAAGTTACTTACTAAGTATATCGATTGCTACATGAATACAAGGGTTCTGGGACAATTAACCATTGGACAATCATCCCCCGGCCAATTACAAACGGGACAATTAATCCTTAAGGACAATTACCCCCCCCCCCCCCCTGAAAATTACACTCTCGGACAATCATCCCCTCCCCAGGACAATTAACCCCGAAACAATTTAAACCGAAGTATTATCACAGTGAACTTTAAAGGTGGTAATTTTCCAGGGGTGGGGGGGGGGGGGGGTAATTATCATAGGGGCTCATTTTCAGAGGTAGGGGGTAAATGTCCTCGAGGGTAATTTTCGGGTGGTAATTGTCCTTAGGGGGATGTTGTCCTTGGGGGTAGTTTTCCGGGCGTGATTGATCAGGGGGTAAATGTCCTGATACGGAATGCAAGTACATCTTTAAACAATGTAACATAAATTTATTTAAATGTATATCATGTGTATATCGTGCTTGAAAAATATAGTGGCATCCTTTTTATTGTTATAATATATTGGATGTAGGTGCTGCATGTACATGTAAACTACAATATTATAAGATTATGCTTTCGATGACCCTACATTAACAAAAGATTGACAATAAAATTGAAAACATAAAAACAAACCGTGAATTGCTGGTATGTTCAGGGCCATCCACCAACCCACCGCTCCGTCATATCATGCAATAAAGAGACAGGTTGCCTGTGTACATGAAAAAATAAGCCATTCGCAGATCAAAATTTAATGTATGTAATACAAAGAGATTGATCTATTGGCCATATTTATTTATATCATCTTTACCGTTTTATTTAAAGCAGGCTTTCCTCTTAAGTTTAAAAAACTGATATCCCTGAGCGCTCTCCACAATAAAACAACGCATATAATTTATGTGTCGACCTGGTTAACTCATAAATAGCATACTAAACAAAGATAAGGAAAACAAAGATTAATAACATAACAAAGATATAATATTATGAATTCAAGATATTGTAAACAGTCACTAATTTTGAACATATAGTATGATCAAAACATTCAGTCGGTAAATTATTTAATTGTCCAATAACTGATTACAGCCGTTGAAAACAAAATGAGGTAATACACAGGAGAATATTAGATGGGGATAGATTGAGGAAAAGCAAAGAAAGCTGGTAAAGATAGAGCGAACGAGGAGAAGAGAGAAAGAGAGGAAGAAGGAGGGGGAGGGAGAACAATGTACGTGGGTATTACATGAAACATGAGTCAGCTAAAACGGATGCCTCTAGAAAAGTGTACATGTACTTAACAGAATACACGGGGGGGGGGGGGATGAAAGAGATCAGAGAAGGAGCTAGAAAGAAAGGAACAAACAGAGAAAGGCAGCTAGACATTTGAGTGATGGGACTTATATCTGCTCGGCATTTAAGTAATTCCATTGTTTCGTACGGAAATCCATTATTATATTTTGCCTGAGTTACACAGGCGAATGTCGTGACTTGTTAATTTTGCATATAATTTTCAAACGGGAGTAGCTTATCGGTCGATTTTAATCAAGAAAGATCGTTTTAGAGCTTAATTAATATATTGACATTGTGAGGGAGTTATACTACATAAAGATGTTTGTGGAGTCATTGTACGTTGGGACTTCATCACAGCAAAGTTCAAATGTGTTTATATTTTGTGTAAAGTTTGTGTAATGTTTATTCTGGCTACGTGGATCTGAAGTTGTTGTTGTTTGTTTTCTTCTTTTTATTACAACCCGTAACCTTCTTGTCGTAGAATAGCTGTCATAGGGCACTCAATTAGAACAGATATTTTGTTACAGAAAGATACATTTAGGGAGATAATGGTTTCGTGAAGTGGAGAGTACGTGTATGTAAAAAGTCTACACACTTATTGTGCGCCCTTTTCGGCGCGTTTGAGAAAGCTCGGTTCGTATGATGGATGTCACTAAAGATTGTGTATTCATGGATGTGTTTGGAATGTGAATTCTACAATCGCATCGAACAAACGGGCGGCTCCTAGTCGTCTGGCGAGCAATAACTAAAGATATTTTACAGTGTAGAGTATCCCGGTGTGTTTAGTATGTACGTAATGTTCTAGCTCTGGGATAAAGTTTTAAAGGGATGAATGGATTAGGAAAGAGTTGAAGAAGTTATACAAAAGAACACTCGTTTCCTGAGAGGGAGAGGGCAGTAATTTATTTAAAGGACAGGTATAGTATTTAATATAATTAGGTGGTCTGTCGATGACAGATCACCTATTGATTTCGTTAGAATTTTCTTTCTTTATTCTTTATTCTTTATTAGGTGGTCTGTCGATGACAGATCACCTATTGATTTCGTTAGAATTTTCTTTCTTTATTCTTTATTCTTTATTCTTTATTCTTTCTTTATTTATTAGGTGGTCTGTCGATGACAGATCACCTATTGATTTCGTTAGAATTTTCTTTCTTTATTCTTTATTCTTTATTCTTTCTTTATTTATTTTTATTTATTCCGTACACTTTTTTTGTGTATACGTTTACTCGAACTCGACCTGGTCAATTTCCTTCAAATTTCTGCTAGTCATCAGGCCCTATGATATGAAGTTCCCGAAACCTTTTTCAAGTTCATGGGGTCATCGTGACGTCATCCAGGCGCCATTTTGTAAAAATCAGGTCATTATCATATCTCAATAACGAGTAATCAAAAATAAACCATATTTAGTATACATCAACTTCCGGTCAAAGGTCAACGAAAAATGTCAAAAAAATTTGCGCGCGCACCTCGACGCGCACGTACGCGCGCATTAAAATTTTAAAATGGTCAAATTCGTTCCAAATTAATTTTGCATACGTTTCAGGCCATTTTAAGCATTTTGCAAAAAAACGCGCGCACGGACATGCGCGCGCGTTTTCGCGCATAATTGCATCTTCCAACATAGAATCGCCAAATTTTTTCTGTCATCATATTTGGCACATTTTTTCAAGCATTTTGATACCTTGTTCAACTTTTTCTGCCCATTAATAACGGAATGAGCGTCCGTTTAAGATAATTACCGTGCGTGCGAGCTCTTGTAATACATAACATACATGTGCAAAAACATGCCTATACAAAATTCATTGTAACTCTTCAGGATGGATAGATACCCCCCAATTTCTTTCATATTTAAATAGATTATGAGTTGGAGATATGATTTCATGTTTCATTTGACCCTCAATTAACTCATGACGTCATCATAATGGCCTCCGAACTCAAAATTTCAATTTTCATATTATGACGTCAGCAGATTTTTGGAAAATTGATTGTATCTCTGCAAATATTGATCAATTTTCTTTCAAATTTTGATATGTTCTACCTTAGAATATTCTCTACAAATGCAGTCACCACGATATTTCATTTTGACAAAGGCATCATGGCGTATTTTTGCGATTAAAGGAGGCATGTCAATTTTTCACATTTTGCGTGTATTCTCTATGGGACATGACTTTTTCTCAAAACTGGTTTCTACATTCTCGTCTTTCGCGAGCAATATCTCCGTCGTTTTATCTTTGTTTACCCTGAGCTTTGAGTATGTTGTAGCTGAGACAATAAGCTATCACAAGTGTGCCTTTTATTTTTCGATCAGATGCCGGGATCATGCTCATATTTCACTTACAAAGTGGGATTTGAGAATTACATTTTCCGTTTACGTGTAATCTCTATAGGAAATGTTTTGGTATATCGGCAACGCACTTGACTTCCGACCTCGAGGTCCCTGGTTCGAGTCCGGGCGTCTCCAACAATTTTTTTTCTTCACTTTTTTTTCTTTTTGACCTTTCACTGTACCATCTCCTTTGAATATTAAAACACATACAATCGCAAATAATGTAATAAACAACCATATTTACTTTATTATTACCCTATTATCACTTGATCCATTACTTTTTGCGTGTAATCCTTATGGGAGATGACTTTTTCTCAAATCTGGATTCTACATTCTTGTCTTTTGCGAGCAATATCGCCGTTATTTCGGCTTGATTTTTGTTGATTTTTGAGTATGTTGTAGCTGAGACTATATACTATCTCAATGTTCTCTCATTTTTTTCAGTCTGATGTCATCATGGTCTGTTGATGATAATCATCAACATCATCATGATCATCATCATCATCATATTCGTCATCACAATTACTATCAAGATCATCATCATCATGATCATCATGATGATCATCATTGTTTACATGTCTATATAACTTGAAGGCAGACCACCTTATTCGTCCTCGTGACGAATTAAATTCTAGTTTTTATTTATTCCGTACACTTTTTTTGTGTATACGTTTACTCGAACTCGACCTGGTCAATTTCCTTCAAATTTCTGCTAGTCATCAGGCCCTATGATATGAAGTTCCCGAAACCTTTTTCAAGTTCATGGGGTCATCGTGACGTCATCCAGGCGCCATTTTGTAAAAATCAGGTCATTATCATATCTCAATAACGAGTAATCAAAAATAAACCATATTTGGTATACATCAACTTCAGGTCAAAGTTCAACTAAAAATGTCAACAAAATTTGCGCGCGCACCTCGACGCGCACGTACGCGCGCATTAAAATTTTAAAATGCTCAAATTCGTTCCAAATTTTTTTTGCACACGTTTCAGGCCATTGTAAGCATTTTCAAGAATTTGCGCGAGAGCACTTTTTTGCGCGCGTTTCCGCGCGTAATTGCGCGTACTGACATTTTACAATATGGAAACGCCAAATTTTCTCTATCATATCAACCACATTTTTCCAAGCATTTTGATACCTTGTTCACCTTTTTCTGACCAGTGATAACGCAATGAGCGTCCGTCAAAGTTTACAGCACACGCGGATCTGCATTATCCCTATCCACATTACATGTGCAAAAACAAGCCTATACAAAATTCATTTTAACTCTTCAGAATGGATAGATACCCCCAATTTTTTTCATATTTAGATAGATCATGAGTCGGAGATATGATTTCATGTCTCATTTGACCCTCAATTAACTCATGACGTCATCATAATGGCCTCCGAACTTAAAATTTCAATTTGCATATTATGACGTTAGCAGATTTTTGGAAAATTGATTGTATCTCTGTAAATATTGATCAATTTTCTTTCAAATTTTGATATGTTTTAGCTGAGAATATTCTCTACAAATGTAGTTGACACGATATTTCATTTGAACAATGGCATCATGGCGTATTTTTGCGATTAAAGGAGGCATGTCAATTTTTCACATTTTGCGTGTATTCTCTATGGGACATGACTTTTTCTCAAAACTGGTTTCTACATTCTTGTCTTTCGCGAGCAATATCTCCGTCGTTTTATCTTCGTTTACGCTGAGCTTTGAGTATGTTGTAGCTGAGTCAATATGCTATCGTAAGTGTGCCCTTTAATTTTCGATCAGATGCCGGGATCATGCTCATATTTCACTTACAAAGTGGGATTTGATAATTCCATTTTCCGTTTACGTGTAATCTCTATGGGAAATGTTTTGGTACATCGGTAACGCACTTGACTTCCGACCTCGAGGTCCCTGGTTCGAGTCCGGGCGTCTCCAACAATTTTTTTCTTCACTTTTTTTTTCTTTTTGACCTTTCACTGTACCTTTTCCTTTGCTTATTAAAACACGTAGAATCACAAATAATGTTATAAACAACCATGTTTACTTTATTATTCCCCTATTATCACTTGATCCATTACTTTTTGAGTGTAGTCCCTATGGGAGATGACTTTTTCTCAAATCTGGATTCTACATTCCTGTCTTTTGCGAGCAATATCGCCGTTATTTCCGTTTGGTTTTTGTTGATTTTGGAGTATGTTGTAGCTGAGACTATATGCTATCTAAATGTTCCCTCATTTTTTTCAATCAGATGTCATCATGGTCTGTTGATGATCATCATCAACATCATCATGATCATCATCATCATCATCAACATCGTCATCACCATTACTATCAAGATCATCATCATCATGATCATCATGATGATCATCATTGTTTACATGTCTATATAACTTCTCCCTTTCTCAATATAGTAAGTATTATAATCTATCATAAGACTTGAAGACAGACCACCTTAATCGTCCTCGTGACGATTTAAATTCTAGTTCTTTATTCTTTCTTTATTTATTTTTATTTCTTCCGTACACTTTTTGTGTGTATACGTTTACTCGAAATCGACTTGGTCAATTTCCTTCAAATTTCTGATAGTCATTAGGCCCTATAATATCAAGTTCCCGAAACCTTTTTCAAGTTCATGGGGTCATCGTGACGTCATCCAGGCGCCATTTTGTAAAAATCAAGTCATTATCATATCTCGATAACGAGTCTTCAAAAATAAACCATATTTGGTATACATCAACTTCAGGTCAAAGTTCAACTAAAAATGTCAACAAAATTTGCGCGCGCACCTCGACGCGCACGTACGCGCGCATTAAAATTTTAAAATGCTCAAATTCGTTCCAAATTTTTTTTGCACACGTTTCAGGCCATTGTAAGCATTTTCAAGATTTTGCGCGAGAGCACTTTTTTGCGCGCGTTTCCGCGCGTAAGTGCGCGTACTGACATTTTACAACATGGAAACGCCAAATTTTCTCTATCATATCAACCACATTTTTCCAAGCATTTTGATACCTTGTTCACCTTTTTCTGACCAGTGATAACGCAATGAGCGTCCGTCAAAGTTTACAGCACACGCGGATCTGCATTATCCCTATCCACATTACATGTGCAAAAACAAGCCTATACAAAATTCATTTTAACTCTTCAGAATGGATAGATACCCCCAATTTTTTTCATATTTAGATAGATCATGAGTCGGAGATATGATTTCATGTCTCATTTGACCTTCAATTAACTCATGACGTCATCATAATGGCCTCCGAACTTAAAATTTCAATTTGCATATTATGACGTTAGCAGATTTTTGGAAAATTGATTGTATCTCTGTAAATATTGATCAATTTTCTTTCAAATTTTGATATGTTTTAGCTGAGAATATTCTCTACGAATGTATTTGCCACGATATTTCATTTGAACAATGGCATCATGGCGTATTTTTGCGATTAAAGGAGGCATGTCAATTTTTCACATTTTGCGTGTATTCTCTATGGGACATGACTTTTTCTCAAAACTGGTTTCTACATTCTTGTCTTTCGCGAGCAATATCTCCGTCGTTTTATCTTCGTTTACGCTGAGCTTTGAGTATGTTGTAGCTGAGTCAATATGCTATCGTTAGTGTGCCCTTTAATTTTCGATCAGATGCCGGGATCATGCTCATATTTCACTTACAAAGTGGGATTTGATAATTCCATTTTCCGTTTACGTGTAATCTCTATGGGAAATATTTTGGTACATCGGTAACGCACTTGACTTCCGACCTCGAGGTCCCTGGTTCGAGTCCGGGCGTCTCCAACAATTTTTTTCTACACTTTTTTTTTCTTTTTGACCTTTCACTGTACCTTTTCCTTTGCTTATTAAAACACGTAGAATCACAAATAATGTTATAAACAACCATGTTTACTTTATTATTCCCCTATTATCACTTGATCCATTACTTTTTGAGTGTAGTCCCTATGGGAGATGACTTTTTCTCAAATCTGGATTCTACATTCCTGTCTTTTGCGAGCAATATCGCCGTTATTTCCGTTTGGTTTTTGTTGATTTTGGAGTATGTTGTAGCTGAGACTATATGCTATCTAAATGTTCCCTCATTTTTTTTCAATCAGATGTCATCATGGTCTGTTGATGATCATCATCAACATCATCATGATCATCATCATCATCATCAACATCGTCATCACCATTACTATCAAGATCATCATCATCATGATCATCATGATGATCATCATTGTTTACATGTCTATATAACTTCTCCCTTTCTCAATATAGTAAGTATTATAATCTATCATAAGACTTGAAGACAGACCACCTTAATCGTCCTCGTGACGATTTAAATTCTAGTTTTTATTTATTTTTGGCTTCTGAATTCTAATGTCAACTTAATATACCAAGGTGCCTTTCTTTAAATTCTAACCATTTCCAATATGTGTTGTTTATTATGTGGCTGACATATTTAACTACTTTCTCATTCCAGGATGATGGTCAACTCCGTGTAGAGAAATGCCAGCTATCTACCGAGATGACCAAAAAGTTGTGGTCCTGTCTTAGATCATTCACTTCACTGAACCGTCTCACCATCTCAGACTCCTCTCTCAGTTTCCCTTCATCTCCTCCTGACCTTCCACCAGTCACAAAGCTATCAGCCGATAGTGTGACGTCACAAAGCTATGAAGGTCTGCTTTCATCGCTTCCTGGCTTGACATATATCGATATTACTATCGATGATGCAGAGAGAGACATACCTCAGATCACGGCTGGTCTTCGTCGGACCAGAGGACAGCAGCTCACACACATCGACCTTACAGCACCGTACACACTCCCATCAGAGAAGAACAGAGTATCAAGAGAGACGATGAGAGGCTTCGGTCTACTGATCAGAGAACAAACCAATAACCTGCAGCGGCTAGATCTGAGAAGGGTGAAGTGCACAGACGAAAAAGACTTGGTTTACCTCATCGAGTGCTGCAGACATGTGAAGACGATGACAGAGCTGTGGTAGGTTCTTGTTCAAATCGTGTATAAGATAGATTAAAATCCTACTAGATTATTCTATTCAGTTACTCTGCAGTAGTAAAGCATAATGAAGGGATGAAATGCGTGAAGGGATGAAAAAAGGTTAAAAACGTAGGTGTAACTTCCAAGTTTTTGACTGACAGTTAGAATGGGTTTTGATTATCGCTCTCAAATGTTATTTTATAATTTTTAAGTAGCAATGAATAGAATTTGAATGCCTGTATTGAAAATCCAAAATTGTAATATGCAGTTGAATGTATTATATTATGCACCGTCGGAAGCTAATTTAATGTAATTCAATGTCCCGGGGTCCATGTTGACTTAAAATACAAACCATATCCTTATAACATTAATTAATATTATTATTACTATTATAATTATTACGATTATCATTATTATCATTTTAACATTCTAGCCCATAATTCGACTTATAATTTTGAATTTTAAAAGCTTAAACAATGCCAAACTAGGGGAAATTACTAGTTTTCACGACCCCCCCCCCCCCCCCCCCCCCCCCCCCCCCCCCCCCGCCGGAGCTTGATTCATCATCTAAAATTAATTTCGATTTTAAATATCTTCAGGCCCGTAGCCAGAGTTTGATTTTTTTTTTTTTTTTAATTTATTGATTGATTGATTGATTGATTTTTTAATTATTATTATTATTATTATTATTATTAATATAATTTTTTTTTCGGGGGGGGGGGGGGGAGGCACATAGACCTAGATCTACATTGATCGACGTCCTGAGGAGGGGTCTAACAAAGTTCAACAAAGCCCCACCCCCTCCCCAGTGGCTACGTGCCTGAATATTTTAGAAAATATATTTGTTATTAAAGGCTGAATCATTTTTGCCTTTAAACTGATGCTCGTGAGCTGTTTCATCGAATCAAATTTAAGCTAGAATCGATCTTGATAAATGTTAGGTTAAATGTAAAGGGCTCTGTGATCAAGGCTAGTCGATGTTAGGTCAACCACACAAATGCGTCGCTTAACTACTGCAAGAGAGGTCCTCAAAAAGTAAGTAAATTCCATTTTCTTCTAAAATATTCATTCTGTTGAAATTTTGGTGGAAGGAAAGTATTCTTCTCATTTTTAACCGAACGATATTTGACATAAATATCAATACTAGTAATAATAGGGTTTAGCGTTCCCCAACTTCTGAGCTAAAAATAAGATGGACGAATTGCATTGGTTCATGCATTTCCGTCCCATTCATTACATCCATGCATGTCCAACTTTACTTGTCTAACGACATTGAATATTTGGTTATGACAGGTCTGAATTCATTAAGAAATATAGTTTATTCTTGCGTTTGATGACAAAATAAATAAGTCCACCACGGCTTTAGAAATCATCGCGTTGAATGGTCGCCGATAAAAAGTCTAGTGCGTAGAATCTAGGCCTAGGCTATACATTGAGGTTAAGGCTCAGTTTCCAAATCTAGACCAGATCTAGGCCTACTTTGTTATTTGCCGGTAGGCAGTGCGGTAGCCCCCTTTTCATGTTGATAATAACATTAACAATCGACGGGGTCATTGTTTCAACGTTAACATTTTATGAAAGAAAAAAAATTGTCTCCACAGTTTCAGACCCAAGACCAAGTTAGATCTTGATTAAGAATAAGATGCAGGATTAACTTAGATACATCAGAATTTAGAGTTAGTCCCTTAGTCCTAGATCAGCTAGACTACTTGTATGTTTGTGAGATCTAAATTAAACAGGAGTTAGATCTAGTGTACATCTAACGGTAACAAGTTCGATTTAAGACTAGATATAGAATGTTATGTAGTAGAGTAGTAATTTTGTGTAGTAATTTTGTTAAACATTCGCTGTTTAAAATTTAATGACTGCTTTATTTACTATACGAGAGCTTTTAGACAGTGTTGTTTACATATGACGTCATGTGTCACGTGCCAGTAAAGTGCGCGTTGGCTAAAAGATTTGTTTCAAATCATGGCCAACCAAGCTGTAGACGTGTCGTGGATGAGTGGAAACGTCGCCGGACTGTCGATCACAAGGTCCACGGTTCGAGTCCCGCCGCGGAACTAATGTCCTATGGCAGCCTAGCATAGCCGGGTAATGTTGGAGCGCCTTGAGGACCTTGCAAGGTCGATACGTGCGCTATATAAGAATCCAATATTATTATTATTATTTAACAACAGCTCCTCTTTAAACAACTTTCTTTAAACAACCCAGTTGGTGTAAACAACCCCCACTGAACAACAGCTCCTTTTTAAACAACTTTCTTTAAACAACCCAGTTGGTGTAAACAACCCCCACTGAACAACAGCTCCGTTTTAAACAACCGTCTTTAAACAACACCAGTTGTTTAAATTGTGATTTTAAACAAGTTGTTCAAAATGTTGATCAACTAAGTGTTTAAACTTTAAACAACTCGAGTTGCTTAACATTTTAAACAACTCTTAGATCAGGTCACCCGTTAATCAACAGTTGTTTAAACTTTTAAACAACATGTTCACTAAATTTTTAACTGTGTAATGAGCATATGCATGATGTAAGCTGCTATCTTTGTTATATACCATTGTATCTCTTTTCCTTCTATACCCCAGAGGGTAGTTTTAATCAATCTGTACAATAGGGTTCGGTTTCAGATCAGAGTAACCACGATTAAGATTTGACTGTTGTAGTTTGATATTACAAATAAAAGCTCTAGTTCAAGATCAAGATTTTAAAGAAATATTTGGGGTCATAGTCAAAAGCAACATAAGTCCAAAATGTGTGTTAGAAAGAATAGTTTCCAAATTACACGAGTCCACCTTAACATATAATGGGTTGGACCAAAAATATTTTAATTATAATTAGAATCACTGACAAAAATATGCTTTTGTTTAGTTGAACACATTAAATTAAGTAAAGTGACAACTATTTTTCTGAGAAATATATTTGCTCTCTTCATGAAATATGTTTATCTCCGTTTTCAATCTTAGGTTGCAAAGTAAAGAGCTGTAGCATCTACATGAATTGCAAAACTCATGGCATCTGGACTTTCATACCTAAGGTCTTATTCATCTCTTCAAGTTGAAAAGGTAAGGGTAAGGGTTTACCAGTAAACTTAATTGATAGTATTAGTATATTTTGTGCCTGTCATCATTGCCATGCCTCTACAGTAATCAATATGAAAGAGAGAAAAAAACGAAAGAGTAAGTACAGTTTTCATAGTCCTTGTTAGAGATCTAATTCAGATTGTGTCTATTGTATAAAACATACACAAATGATTATGAGATTTTTCTTTTCCAAAGCCTAAAAATAAATTATTTATTACTTTTTCTTAACTTAAACTGCTTTCGTATCAATATTTTCAAAGAATGTTTTATATCATTCTACTTTATTCATTTCCAATCAAAGAAATTGACATGATCAGAAATACAAAGTTGTAGAAAGATTGAACAATTACAGTAGTAGTTATTAATTGTTTTATTACATAAATTTGTATTCCAAATTATAGACTGCAGTGCCTGAATCCCCTGCAACATTATGCTTCATATGGAACATCAGCCAGCCTACAGATACAAGCTCCCTTTCCAGCTCTAAGCAAGAGGGGCCACAATGCTAAACAGTTCGTGGACTTGTCGCTTTTTTCAACTACGACTTCCATTGAAACAGATTTTCAGATTAATTCATCTGAAGGTATTAAAAATGCTTCAGTCAGGGTACCATGGGTTTGCCATCAGTTTGCCATGAGTATGAGATTATTGGTTTCATAAGAATTCATCAAGTAAGGTCTAAAGGAACTAAGATTTTCAATGATACTTCCAAGAATTCTATTATTTTAAAAAGAATGTCAGAATCTTGCGGAAGAAAGAGCAAAATACTAGTTATAGGATAAAGGATAAAAGTAAAGTCATTATCCATATTAAGTTAGCGCTGCTATTTCAGCCTGCACTTTCGAGAAATGTCTTATTAAGGGTTGTTGCTGATTTTAAAATCTATGATTCTGTCATGGAGGTTTACTGTTTTTAAACTTACTTTACATAGACAAATCCGTTCATGGTGATGAATCTTAAAATATCAAATCGGAAATTTGAGGGCCAATTTGGAACTCTCCCTAGAGGTTTTGTTGGCATGACCATGTGTTGATGAGTACCTGTTGATGCCTCAATTGAATATTTTTATAATTTGCCTAAGAACAGCATCACAATAAACAACGGAATAATATTACTGCAGTGAAAACATTTTGGCAGGAAATTATATCAACTCGGATTTATATTGTCCTTAGAAAATGTTCAAATCTGATAGAGAAAATCTATAATTAACTTCATATAGACAAACTGGTGTATCATGAAAACACATTTTCACCAACTGCATGACCTCACATGAGAATGTGTATATGCCTTACACCCCATTCACAGTGGCCTCAAACACCGCGACAGCAGCGGGACTGTCCCGCTGCTGTCGCGGTGTTGTCTTCAGTGTGAAGGCTCGGACCCGTTATAAACTATCGCGGGATAACACCGCCTCGCGATAACGCCGCGACAAACTATCGCTAGGCTCGCCTAGCTACAGCAGCGGGACAGTCCCGCTGCTGTCGCGGTGTTTACTCAGTGTGAAGGCTCTCCGCTATAACACCGCGACAAACACGTGTGATTTGTTTACTTACCTATCACTGACCTCTTTTCTCCAGCAATGGGGAACATAAAGTGAAATAGAAATAAAGTAACCAGTGGATTCAAATTGATTTTATTATTATGTAGATTTATAATTATCCAAATAAAAATATTTCACACTTCAAAAAATTAAAATATTCTGACTGGAAGCAATAAAAATGCTAGTTTTTTAAAAAGTAATATGATCGAGGATACAAAAAGCAACTTGACATGTTTATCCTAAAACCCCGCGCTGAAGTATTTCCGGTCATATCGGGGTCACTCGCGGGTCATGAGCCATGCATACACGTGTTTGTTACGGAGGTAATAAAAATCACCCGCTGCAGCGTGAATGGGTACATGATATTTATCCCGCTGCTGC